GACTGCAGCAGCTGTCCTGTAGGTACAGCCATTTTGAATATTTGCAACATTATATTCAAAGTGGTTGTGCCCTCAGGACAGCCGGGAGTCCACAGCTCTGTTTTTCTCCTTACTCACTATTTTCATTCAGGTTCTTCTACTAGTTGGTATTTAATCCACTTCTTTATCCTTGCTTTCAAAGATCAAGGTTCCAGGATTATCTTTTGTATTGGTTTCAACTGATTTCTCATTGTTTTGTTGAAGAAACTGTGTAGCTTGTCTGTCTATTCTGCCATCTTGCTGGAACTCTCAGACCATGGTATTTTAAGTATCCTTCACCAACACCACAATTCAAAAGCACCAACTCTTCTTCGTTCTTTTTTCTTCATTGCCCAGTTAAAATGGCACTGATTAAAAAATAATAATAACAAATGTTGACAAAGATATGGGGAGATCAGCATCCTTATCCATTGTTGGTGGGACTGTAAAATGGTACAACCATTAAGGAAATTGTTATAATGCTTCTCAAGGAACAACAACAAAAAAAAACAACACTAGAAATAGATATCCTGTGATCCAGCAATCCCACTCTTAGGTATATGACCTAGAGATCTAAAAATAGTGACATAAACCAATGTATGCACACCTACATCCATTGCTATTTTACTCACAATAGCAAATAAATGGAAACAACTGAAGTTTCTATTAGTGAATGAATGGATAAGGAAATTGTGATACATACATACAGTGGAATAATGCATGACCATAAAAAGCAATGATGAGTCCATAAAGTATATGATAACATGGATGAACCTAGTGGACATAATGTTAAGTGAAATAAGTCAAGCATATGAGGACAAATACTGCATGAACCCTCTTTTATAAGAAGACAACTATATATATATACCAATGTTCACTGGTGGTAACCAGACATAGGAGGAGGGAGGGAAAAGTACATTTTGGACCATAGACAGTTGTGTTTTGGTTACCTAGTGCTGCTCTGACAAGAATATCCCATAAATGGTATGACTTTAACAAACAGGAGTGCCAGACACTAAGGGGCTGGGTGAAAGCCCCTCAACCTTGGGCTTCAGCTCTGCCTTCTCCTCCTGGCCCAACTGAAGCTAGAGGTTTATCTTCATTCAGACTGCTGCTGGCTGCTGAGACTGACAAGCCCAAGGTTGACAAGTAAAAAGACACAGTCCTGATGTCACCAAACCACACAGCAGGCCATTAATTAAAGTCCATTGAAAGTCCCAAGGTTGGCAGAGCATGGCAGGCTGCTGAACAACAACATGGCTACATGCAGGGTTCAAGCATGCCATAAGTTAGACACCATTCGCAAAGTTGTTTCTTACATATGGGAAGCAGACCAGATACCCAACGCAGCTACTCACCCACTCCAATAGATTCCACCATGGAATTACCATTCTCACCATGAGGAAAAATTGCATTCAACTGCCCAGACACTCAAACAGGCCCAGCCAAGTTGACACAAACTTAGCCACCATAGACATCATGCATAAAGAAAGCAAAAGGTCATTGAAAAGACCGGAAAGGAAAACAAGACTATAATGCATGTCAGAAGAGACTCTGAAACTTGCTCTTGAATGTAAGAGTAGCTAACAAGAACATAAGAAATTATGAAGTAAAAGATTTGAACAGAAGATGTCAAAGGCAGCTTGAGAAGACAAAGTAAAATATTATAATGAAATGTGCAATGACCTGGAGTTAGAAAACAAAAAGGAAGAACATGTTCAGAAATTCACAAGTTGAAAGAACTAAAGAAAAAATTCAAGCTTCAAGTTGCTGATTTAAAGGATTCTATGGGCAAAATATTCAGCAATGCAGGAACATCATAAGAAGGTGGAAAGAATGCACAATGTCACAGTAAAATAAAATAATTGGTCTACATTCAATCATTTCAGGGAGTAAGCAGCATATGATGAACTGATTGTACTGAAGGATGAAGTCAAACCTTCACTGAAGTCACTGTTGAGAAACAAGCCAACAGGAATTGACAAAATACCAATTGATGTGATTCAAGGAAGAGATGAAATTAAGGAAGCACTCACTCAGCCTATGCCAAGAAATTTGAAAAACAGCAACCTGGCCAATGTACTATAAGAGATCCATATTTGTGCCTTGTGAAAAGAAAGGTAATCCAACAGATCATAGAAAATATAAAACAAAATCATTAATTTCACTTGTAAGTAAAATTTGGTGGAATATAATTACAAAAGGGTTGCAACATGGCATCAACAGGAAACTGCTAGAAATTCAAGCCAGATGCAGAAGAGGATGTGGAACTAGGGACAGATCTTGGCTGAAAGCAAAGAATACCAGAAAGACCTTTACTTGTGTTTCATTGACTATGCAAAGGTATTAGACTGTGTAGATCATAACAAATTACGGATACTTTTGCGAAAAATGGAATTCCAAACAGTTGTTCTCAATGGGAACCTATACATAGACTAAGTGGTTACTGTTCAAACAGAACAAGTAAATATTGCATGGTTTAAAATCAAGAAGAATGTGCCTCAGGGTTGTATCTTTTCACCATATTTATTCAATCTGTATCTTGAGAAAATAATTCGAGAAGCTGGACTATATGAAGAATGCGGCACCTGGATTGGAGGAAGACTCATTAATAAGTACCTGGAGAGAAATAGCAGATCACCTACAAAGATTCTCCACAGTCTTCTCAACAGCAACAAAGGATACAAGAAAACAAGACTGTTGGGCTCACTTCAGCAGCACATATACCAAAATTGGAATAATATTAATTATTTAATTCTTAATTACTGTAAATAAATAGGTCTTTCATATTTTTAAGTTGCAAAATCTTAAGCTTAAAGTCACATGAGTAAAAGTATTATCTTGTATGTCCTCCAAACTTTTCAGTGACTAATTTAAAATTATGGAAATTGCTGTTATCAAAGAATCTTGATTCATATGTTTAAACTGTTTAGTTCTATGCTCTTCTTCTTAGCCAAAAATAATAATGCCATTCAGTGTAATGATCATTTGAAAACCAGTTACTAATTCTACATTACTATTGTATTTTTTTTTATTTTTTTAGCTGATGTGCCTGTCCAGAAAAACAAATACATATTCTAAAGGTCAATTTATATATTTTTCTACAGGAATAATAACAGAGTTTCAACTTTTTCCCCATTTCCGATAATATTTAGCTGTCCATAGTAAAATGTACACATTAATAGTTACCTTCCAGCAAGGGCATATTTTTGAGATTGGTATCACTTTGTCTAAAGGAATGACCATGTTAATGGTTAACCTCTATCATCGTGGTCATAGTTTCCAAGTTGGCATCCATGTTTAAATTACAAAAGACCTCAAAAAATTAGTTGAAATTTGATTGATAAATGTTAGTTAGTGATCCTTTAAAACAGGAATATGCAAATAATTTATTTACTGCTACTGGTAGTGAGTAGATTATCACTTTATTCTCAGTTTTCTTATAGATATTTCAAAAAACATGAATATATGGTCCTTCATCATTTATACACTGTAATAGTGAGTGCTCAGAGGAAATAAATAAGTCTATTCTCAATAATTTCTGGTATAGTATCCTATTTTGTTTAATATTCAAATTTTGTATATATACTAAGAAATAAGAGATTAACTTAGAACTGAAAAAAAGAAAACAAAACAATGTTTCAGTAAAGGAACTTTGAACTTATAATGGTATACTCTGCTTCACTATCATTTAAAAATTAACAGTGAATTAAATGTGTTCTGAGACATCCATAGTCTCAGAATGTTGATCATCTTTGATAACACATTTGGAATGAGTATTCCAGTAAGAAGACAAGCTCTTTAGGAGGATATTATGAGATAGGGGATGTAAGTAAGTAAGTATTTTAGCAAAATATGTAAAGCTAATCAGTGATATTTCATACCTATAAAAGAAATATTATCAAAATATATAATAAATATGATGACCATATATGTATCTTGCAAAGCAACAGCTGAGAGAACACTGAGTAGAATTATGTAATCAGTTATTGGAGCTTGGAACATTAATTCATCCTTTACATAAATTGATATAACAAGAAGACTGAAAATAAGCAAAGTTGCAGAATAATTTAATCATTCACTTAGTAAGTTTGACATTATATGTGTACAACCTTACACTCTACCTACAGAGAATATGCATTCTTCACAGGCATGCCATAAACATTTAAAAATTTTCCTTTCATCTCTGCTAAAAGAATTCTCACTAAATTCAAAAGAATGAAATTCATAAAAATTATTTTCTGTAAACTTGACACAAATAATCAATAAGCAAATTATAGCTTTAATAATCCTGTGTATGTGAAAACTAACAAAAATTAAAATTAAGTATGTTTTATTGGAAAGTGTAAATCAAAATGAAAATTTTAAAATATTAGAGCTTAGAATGACAAAGAAAGGACTACATGTCAAAATCTTGTCTCTTTTCAAATATTCAGGGAGATAATCCTCATGTAAGTTTCCCATTAAAGAAGATAAGGATCCTATAAAAAATTAAAATTATATTTTTAATTTACTTATAAAAATTTTGTCTAGTCAGAGGAGTTCTGGTAAGATGGTGGAATAGGCAGAAAGACTGCATAGACCTTCTTCAACAAAGAAAAGGAGAACCAATTAACACAAATACGGAAGATAATTCTGGACCCCTGAGCCTTGAAGGGAAGGATATAGAAATGGACTAAACTCCAAGTAGCAGAAGAATTTGTGTGAAAACACCAAAAAAAGGAGACATACAGAGCTGCGATCTGGCAGCGATCCTGATGGCACAGACAGCTTGGATATTGCTAAGTGATGTTGTTGTTATGTGCCATCAAGTAGGACCCAACTTATAGGGACCCTTCCGTGGGTTTCCAAGGGAGTATCACTACAGAAGAATATTGCCCAACCTTCCTTCTGAGGAGTGACTGGTGGGTTTGAACCTCAAGCCTTCTGGTTAGCAGTCAAGTGCCTTAGGCAGTACACTACCAGAGCTCCCAAAAGCAAGCTGTTCCCACCCAGTTTCGAACCGGGGACCTTTCATGTGTGAGGTGAACATGATAACCACTACACTATGGAAACCACACACAATATGGTGGGAGGACCTAAGAAGTAATCTAAAAATTGGCCTTGCTAGCCAGGGACTAAACAGAGGCCTGATCTTGTGGCTGGGGAATAAAAGGGGAACCAAAGAAGAGGAAGATGGGCTGAGCTGTGGACTTTTGTCTGGCTGGAGAGTGCAGCCATTTTGAATGTTTACAAGCAGCATGGCCATTTTGGATATTTAAAGTGAAAGTGTTCTCTCAGATTCCAGGGTCTTAAGAACAGGCTCCACTTGCCAGGAACCACAAGGACATTCAGAACACGAATGACTAGAAAGTTAACAGAGATGTAAATACAATAATGCCATGATGTCTCAGAGACAACAAACCATCACAGTCCACACAAAGAAGAAAGATAAAGTGGTAGAAACAAGGGAGCAGAATACAGACCCAGAACACATCCCTGAGGAAGAAGCAGCATTGGAACTCTCTGATAAGGAATTAAAAAGAATTATCTTTAGGTATCTTCAAAGGATTGAGAGACAGATCAAGGAAAACACAGAGAAAAACCTAGAGGAATTTTGGAAGAAAATACAAGAACAAAATGACAAAATAAATGAA